ATGCAAAGGCAATGAGCTTGAAATGTCACGTAGTATATGCGCATAATTTATAAAATAAAATTAAGATTTAAAGGAAGCGAAAATAGGAAAAACACAAAACTTTTTTACGAGAAAACAAATGACACTTTTGGGTTTTGGTTTTTTGGCCAGTGAAGTTTTGTAAAATTACGTTCGAATGACAAATAACACGATGTGAAACTTTCGAACCAAATTTACCCGATGAATATTTCATAAGAAGCGGAGAGTGTGAATTAAATTTTTGTTTTTCACTTTTCAGATTAATCGAAGAAACACTCATTTTTCCTATTAGCATTTTTTTTTATAGTTTTTCTATTCAATCTATTAAATTCCTTACTGTAAAACGTCTCCTCTTCAAATTAAAGACTTCAATTACTGTACAGTCTACCAAAATTTGCAGTGAAATATGTTCCCATTCGTCAGTGTATTTCGGTGGGATTGTATGTGTGTGCGTCGCAACATATTTTGTAATGCAACGTTTTTTTTTTGAACAATGAAAACCGCGCGAGTGGCATTAAATTAAGGATAAATATGAAAATTCAGTGAAAATAGTTGAAAGTGCATCGAAGAATAAAATTGTCGTGCAACTCTGTCATGCAGACAAACATAAATACAGACTGTACTGAAACTGCTGTCAACTCAATTCGTATGCTTACAATGTCATTCAATATCATGGTAAAAATCAACGAGGCACACATTCTTCAGCCATTTTATAAAATCAACAGCAAAATATATATGAATCCATAAAATTCATTTTAAACGTTTTTCCTTCGTTGACACATCACCATAGTTTTTGCCAGCCATAATAATATCTGTCAAGATAGAGTCGAACGCTATCATGTATTTATACGGTGTTGTTTTTTAAAAGGAACTTTTCATCCTTCCCGAAATATGTATAAACTCGTCACACAATGTTTGAGTTTATCCGAATAAACAATGCACATGAATATGTTATAACAGTTTTCTCTTGACATTATATTGTTGCTGTGTTGCCTGTCTCATTCTCGATTTAATTTAATATTTTCATTTTGTCTGACAGACACAAGTCAAACTGAACTATATGGTGAATTTTAGAATGAAACAGGTGCTGTATATCTATGTGCGACCCGGAATTTATGCTGAAAAATATGCTCCATCTAAAGAAGGAGTAGCTCGGTTAATCGATAGTTTATGGTATATTTTCGATTAACTTTTTGTTATATTGCTTAATTCTGTCATTGAATTTGAATTTAATATCGTACAAGATACATCAACACTCAATAGTTTTAGCCCGCTCAACTGCACGTACACAATCAGCCTTTGACTGAAATCTGTCGATAGCAGTTTTATCGCTGGTGACACATTTTCGCAAAATATTTTGCACTTCTCGCTATAAAATTTTGGAGAAAAAGTACATTACACAAAAGATGAAAACATAGCGGAATGTGTTGTATGCGAGATTCCATTGTGCTCGAAATTCAAAAACAACTCACTATATTTCTTCAGTTAATTTTCTCATTTTAAAACTCGTAGTTTTTTGTGTGTATAAAAATATTTAAAAGAAAGTTTAAATGTGAAATATTGCCATTTCTCTTCAAATAGAAATTATTTTCTAGACGGAATTGAATCAAAAATTCTTCAATTCAGAATAAAAAATAGAGTTTATAAGACAAAAACGGAAGCTCTTCACTTGAACTTGATATAATATCATTGAACTCAAAGTTTGTAAACATCTTGCAAGATGTGACTAGAAATTCGACATCGAACCGAATACTTTTCGAATTGAATTTCGCATTTTGCTCAAATTTCAAATCATGTAGCAAACTCGATAAAGCGAAACAATACAATTAATAGAGTCGAGTTGTGTGTTGAATAGGGCATGGTGCAAGAGAAGTTCTAATTTTACAATGAACAAACTAAAACAACAGTTTGTAACTAAAGTCAATAAAACATATTGTGCATAGTTCAATCAAGACAAAGAAAGAGAGGGACGAACAGCACCCTCTTATATATTTTCCGTAGGAATCTAATCTCATTTTGTTACTACACATACACACATTTAGCTACGCAATACAAATTTATCCAAACATAAGAACGCACATATGGCGCCATCAGTTGATAGATGCGAGCGAATTCTTTTACAGACACGAAAAAGGAAATGAGACCGTGAATAGACACCTAAAAGTGTTTCGCATTGTTTTGTGATCAAATCACATACAAATTTGTGCAATACTTCACACAAACATGAATACCGAAGCGAAATTCCGTTTTTGTGGGAGAGTCAAAGATCGTCATACGACCACCGCATGACATTGAAAATGAAAAGAAACGAAAATATCGACGAATGTATTTGAAAGAAGAGGCATTCATAAAGTGAATTGACTAGCAACGGCATGGGAGTCGCTGTGGAAACGGCAGAAGCAACTGTCGTCGACACTAGAGATAAACTTCATATTTATTTGATATTTATTTTTTTGTTCGCTACTGAAATCGTTCAATTGTAAGACGAATGCTCTTGATATATGAACTGATGTATTGTATTGTCATGGGTTGTTTTCTCTATCAGCAGCAGCAGCAGCAGAAGCAGCATTTATGCGAGTGAAGTGTTTAGCCCAAATGGAGAGCATTGTATTGACATATCTCATGCAAGAGCGTTCACATTCTCGAAATATTAGATTCAAAAAAATGTGAAGGGGCTCAACACGCACAGTGGCTTTTCAATTCGCATATTTTATACGTGCGAATTGTTTACAGTTTCTTTTGCAACACTTAAGAGGAAGAGAACAGTGAACATATGGCATGTGTAGTGTGCAGTCACCCCATCGTGTGAGCATGAACACTGACACCATACAATCTACTTGCCAAGGCACATAAATATCAAACAGAATTAGGAGACGTTACGTCTCATTGTTCACACACTCACGCATTGTAATACACACATTGTTCAGTGTTACCGAAAGTTGATTGAGAGATAAAGAGTAAGCGAGAGAGAGAGAGGGAGAGAGAGAGAGAGAGAGAGCAGCGAGCAAAGGTCCCAGTGTAGATTAAGTGCAAATAATGTTTGACATGTTACGATATTGACATGCAATTTGACATGTAATTGAATCAATATTATCATACATGTGTGTCTCGGTACATCGTCTCATCGCTAAAATTATCGGTATGAATGGCATTATAGATATATTGTTGGGCGATGATGGAATACAGAATGATTTACACCTTCACAAAATATGTACACAATATTTGCACGTTTTCAATTTGTTAGAAGGGTTGCTTAGGTTCGATTTTGAAATGAATACACACAAATACACATGTTTGCCAATGTAAATACATATTTGGTTCTTTCACTCTCTCTCTCTCTCTCTTTCACACTTTGCATCTCTAGGTGGCCAAATTTTAGGTGTCAAAAATTGATTCACTTGCTGTGAAACAATTCCAAACACATTTCGGTTTTCATTGCAGAGTGTCTTCCACATCGTTTCGCACGTGTACGATTGAGAGACAGAGAAAAATGTTGTACAGTACGATATTTGATCTTGAATTTTCATGCATTATTTATGTAAAATATCTTATTGCTGTTGTGCACATTGTAAACGTCTAAATGTTTGCCAAATAGATGTTGAATTGGTAAACTCAGTCATACACGCCTAGCGTCTTCTAAATCGACGGTACCCCTTTTCAATTGACACGCACAAGGAAAAAATGATTTGTTGGCTTTCTATGCTTACTCTCTATATGGCGCACTTTGCATCATGTACACAACAAATGTGTGACAATTTATAGACTATAATACAATTATCAATTTACACTTTAGCAATTGTCGTCATGGGACCTGCTTTGAATTTGATTTCTTTGGCTTGTACACGGTGATGATTTAACAACAAAAAGAGGGGCATTTTGATTTTGAGCCGAGGAAAGTGAAATATGATTCGAATAGATTTCTTTTTGTAATTCAAATCGTGATTTTTTTGTGTTTATGACATGTCACGGTGCATTTTTGCATGTGTTTTTGCCCTTTGTCGCTATTGCTTTTGGTCGATGTTGATTTTTCAATTAAATTGATAAAAGTAATAAGTGATTATAAATCTAAATGGCATTTCGCCAAATGTATATCCGTTGAGTTGGCATCCAAGCATCCAAAAATCGTTCCCCGTTCAAATCTCGTCACCACATCGGAAATCATATCGATTATAATGTTCGCACGAGTTTGTCGTTTCTGTCGACGGTGGGCAACATAGAAACGGCGTACAATAGTCATACATGTATGCTTTTAAATAAAATGCGAAATGAATAACGATGTAATATTATGATTATAATAAATATTGAAAGTGGGTAGGCGTCAGCTTTCAATATCGTATAATAATTTGTATCGGCAAAAGTCACACGTGCATCGCACATTCGTATTCATGTATTCGTGCTCATATGATTAAAATATATTTTGCATGCGATTACACGCGCACGCGAAAAAAAAACTGCCATGATTTGCACAGCGTTGAAAATTGCCCAAAATTGTGAACATGTGAGCCAGAGATGTGACTGTGTGGAAAAAATCGATTCTTACACACGGCTGTATGCTTTAGAATGGAAATGGGTGATCATGCGAAAAAAAGTAGTATCAGAGAGACAACAGCTTGTATGAATGAGCTGTTTCGAGAATATTTAATTAAATATTTAAAATGTGGTGCTCAAATGCACTTCACAGTACTGGCTGGTGTGATTTGGTTCCCCAAAAAGTATAGTAATTTCACAACTCAACAGGATTCAATGACATAAATTCACCTGAACACGCTTTATTGAGTGGTTGTTTCATAAATTGGTTTTTTTCGCTTGGGCACAGTGACTCATGTTAAATCAAATACCGGTATCTTCTTCTGGGCTCGTGATCAATGCCATACACATTGTGCATTATATGAACATGCGACCGCAGATAAAGCGTTCGATTTAATGAGTCACTATGCGAAGGTTTTTTTTTATTCGGTTGATAATCAATTTTTTTTAAATACCTGGCAATTTGAAAGGTAATCCAGCCATAAGGGGATCGGGTGCAAAACGTTGTGGTCCAAATGCAAATGGATGGAAATTCTGGTGGCGAATTTTTGAGCGTGGTTCACGTGGTCCATCGACGGTTACTTTGATCGCCTTCGTATATGTTGTCACTTGAGCTGGTACGGTTGATATGCATATTGTAAGCGAAAAACTTTTCCCTACAATAAAGAAGAAATGAAAAGAAAAAAAAATGAATATTTCATCATGCGTAATATATGGTAGATTAAATGACAATGTGTGCAAAGCAAATGAATTTCAGTTTCACGAAACGAATAACAAATTTTCAATCCATAAATTTTCGACTGATATTATCTTGCTTAATAAATTATTAGCTCAAGAAAACAATTTCATTCCGGACATAAGACGGAATACGCTCTTTCTCCACTTTTTGAACTCTCACTCACTTCATCGCATGCACTCACATATGAATTCCATTTTGTGTGAGTCAACACCACTCACAACAAAACACAAAACCGACTACTAGAATATGGCATTTTTGTTTATTATTCCTGCATTGGCATCATTTTGCCATTTATTTTTCCGTTTTGTTGATATCGTCTCCAGTTCATATACTCGCCATACGAAATCAATGAAACAGATTTTTACCATTGTCTTCTCCATTTTTGAAACATTCGCTATATTATATGCGCTTTTCGCCTCGATTTTATTATGTTCGTTGTGTGTATTGTTGTGGGTGCACCAAACCGATACGACACACTTGAATTTATGTGCTGGTGTTAAATCATGTGTACGGAAAAAATGTGCGAATACATTCTCGACCATATTAACTAAACGGAGAGTCAACCGATAGAGTCTGTATGATTTTTTGGTTCGTTGTTTCAAGAGCAGGGCACAAGCAAAAACAATTGGATGAAGTCAAGAAAAATTGATTTATGCGCTGGCTGAAAACTGAAGGGAAAATCGTTTATTGAAAAAGGGAAAGCGTCGCTTGTTCAAAAGAACGTGAAAGAATGACAAAAGATTAATGCCCAACCGAAAAACGATCTGCACTATTTTTTATGTCCGCATAGTTTTCGTTCTTTGGCATCACTAGTGATAATTCCATTTTCTTGAGGTTTCAACAACAAATCTTGCATATTTTAAATTTTTTTCTTTTTTGGTTTGATATAAATCAGTATCATAACATTTTTTCATACTAAACGTTTGTTTCCGGTTTATAAACAAGTCCCGTTGAAACCTCAGCCAAAAAGTTCCATGGACTCAAAAGAATGGAAAATCCGAAAAGTCGAGTCTTAACTTCTTATGTTTGTCGTAAAGTCAGAATATTAAAGCATCGATATTGGCGAGATGGATGTGAGCGCGTGCTATGCCGACGGGTGAATTACATTTTTTTTATAGGAACATCATGTTGTATTATTGTTTATGCTCCCGAAAAAACCGGGTAATTGAATCAAACGTTGAATGCGACTAAAAAAAATATTACACATCAAATTGACGACCAATTTTGACGAAATTGCAACAACAATATGGTTATGTATCAATAACCGTTGGATTCAATTCATCCGATTAATTTCACTTCGCTCTTTTTTAAAAAGGGGAGTGAAATTCATCATTGTTGCTGCTGTGTAGGGTGCATTTGTTGCGATGATATTTTTTTTGTGTCAAGTAAACAATCTGTTTTTTTTTTGTTCGTTCAACCTTCTTTATTACGAATTTTGATCGTCTTTTTCATTTTATGAATGTTTTTGCTTTCTTAATGTTCTGCTGACTAAGTCAATTCTCTTTCGGCTTCTGTTTCGTTTTAATAAAATGTCGACTTTATCGCATCAATTTTTGAAGCACCAAAAATACAAACAATTCAAACCAATCGCTTCACATTTTCAACAAATCGTGACACAAACTCGAGGTTGTAACTTGAATTGATTGCATTATAAATTGTGAATTTTTTGCATGCCGAATATTCAGTGTCATATATGTAGTTGAATTTTGTCGAGTTTTAGTGGGTGTTTGGTTAATGGTCAACCACAGGCACTTTCATATAGTTCTCCCCCTCTATCTCTCTATCGTTTTTTCATTTGAATACGTTGCCATTTCGTCGAAAATATTAAATAAAATGGAAAACATTATTTTGGCACGTTGCCAATAGTGTTGTTTAAAATTGCGATATGTTTCGAAAAAAAAAAAACTGAAACTTTTTTCAAGAATCACAATCGCAATTGAGTTTGAGAGCGAACTGACTGTGCAGAGTGTCTATGGAGTTTTGGTCATTGCAATAACTCTGGAGAAAAACGTGATGAACATTATTTCTTATGTGAAAACACACAAAAAAGCAATAACTGCAAACCAGAATTGCTCATAAATTTTTGGCAAGAATATTGACTTTTTCATTTGGTCTATGCGACAACGATGTCTATGTCATTCGGTAGATACAGTCGAAAAGTAATGGATTTGAGATTTTTCTTTTTGTTATGGAAATGTGGATAAACCACTGTAACCAAGAGTATTGTTGCAGAGAAAGTACTGTCTTCTGTAAAATACACCTCGTTAATTGTGACAAGGAAAAAAAAACAGATTCCGGGCGACCGAGACGAAAACAAGTTGAAAAGTGATGATTTTGAAAAGTCACTTTTCCAATCGACACAAACAAGTGAAAAATGCTCGGGAATGACATACTAAAGCAATGCAAAAAAAACCATGTCCGTAGGGGCTCCGAGTGTTTAATGACATACTTGGCTGTTACTTTTGTTTCTTTACATTCCATTTTCATTTATTCTTATTTTTTATTCATTGTCGCCGTGATGTGTTTCACACCGAATGTGGGGAGAGCAAGAGATATGGTCTGTAGTGAATATCGTCTAATGATGAAGGCGGCAGACATGCGTCAGTTGTGATGATTATGGTGCAACAGCATGATTTGAGCGCGGAGAGAATGAAATCAGACGCTCAAGAGATTCGAATATTGTTTTTAAAATGGGATTTAAAAGGACGTAGTAAAATTCAAAACAAGATGGGGAAAATCTTGACGAAAAACAACCGACGCTTCAAAATGAGGGAATTCGTTAAATAGACAATACGCAAAGAAAATAAAGACGAGAAGCAAAAAAAAACCCAAAGAAAATTATTACAAGATTGTAAATTGGTATTTATATTGCGTTTAGCATTTCAGCAGCAGCAGCTTCAACAACAACGGCAGGCAATCGATTTTTTTTTCGTTCGTGATTGCTTCGCCATTTGATGGTGTCTTGTTTTTATTATTGTCAAGCTTATCTAAATACATTTGTATGGGATTTTGTGTCACGTTTATGGTATTTAAATGGAAAGTTATCGGCAAATAAAAATAAATAGAACAGACAACGAAGAACATCAGTAGAGAAGAACCGCTGATGCGATTTGAGTCTTAGCGGTGGTTATACGCGCATTGAATGCTTGACAAAAACCTAAATTCGAAATCCGCTAATGCAAATGCGACAATAAACAATGGTTTAACGTTTATGTATCGTTGGGTAGTTGTGAACGCAAAAATTAAATTGAAAGTCATTTTCGCTTGGAATTCGATTTCAAACGACAATACGGAAAATTGCCAATAATTCAATTGAATTTTGATCGCACACATACAGACAAACTGACTGAAATGAACTGAAGCACACACCAAGACGTCAACAATGATTGCAAATTAATTCGGTACTGAACATGCAACGGCAAGACTAATAATACCAAGAGGCTGCTAAAAACAACCGACAGAATCCGGAAATAAAATCGACCCCAATCTCATTTTTGGTTTGCTTGTTAATACTCTCGCCGCCTTTGAACGAAGTGCTCGCACACAAATCGACTATTTTAAACGGTTTCGATTTTATTAAATTTTCACGCTCGGGTGCTATCGCTCTTTCAGCAAAATCGTAATTAAATTCCTTTTGTTTTTTTTTATTCGCCTTCTTTCTCTTATCTGCCATCATCTTGTTTCAATTCCAGCTCTTACACATTTTGGAATTACTTCTCGAATATCACCAACACTTTCGTCTTTCACTTTTTCCGTCTCTTCGTTTTATAAAAAAAAACTGATTGAAAATGAATTCGCAAACTTACTCACATTCAAATACGTACGGAATGCAAAAGCTTTTTTGACTTCTTCTTGTTTAGATGATATTTCGTTGTGTGCAAATTAAAAGTAAAGATAGAGACAAAGACTTTTGTTTGCTGTTTTTAATTTCATTTGATTTCGAATGCACATTTTTTCACATCAAATTTGAACAATCAACTATTCAGATTGGAATCTGTGACACACTTAGAGTGTACCGATTCATTTGCCTGTAGAAATGCAGTCGAATGAACATTGATTTCGAAAGCAAATGTGCACATAATTTGCTTTCCAGATTTCTCGTGTAGACGGCGGCTCGTATCATCTTGTAGTTTGTATTATTAGATTTGGTGGAAATAAACTAACGTTAGCTATCTGAAGCTTTGCAACAAGAATAAAGAAAAATTGAAGCCAACTAAGCCAGCTCGCTTGTTGCTTAGCAATCCTTAATTTTCGCATTCCTTTTGAGAGTGGACTGGTTTCCCAACAACGGTCGCCGTTTTTTTTCTTGTTTAAAGGAATACACACAGGGCAACCGTTTATTATTGAGCATTGCCATTCAAGAGCATTGCCCAAATATTCTATTCTATTTTTACATAAGAATCTTTCACCTTAAGGTTAAGGTTGGATTTCAATTGGTGTTTCTCGCGCAGGAAATCTCGCATACAATTATATTTAAAATCCCGAAAATACCAATTATTGTGAATTAAAATAAATCCTGGATTTTCCCTATCTGGTGCGTTTCGGACAAATTAGGTGTCCATCCAAACTACGTTCAGGGCGGACGTACACATTTTTGTATAGTCGTTGACAAAACAATGTTCCTACTATGAAAATCACAGATGTATATTACACTGTAATACACGCTGCGTTCTATAATCGCTATAATCTATATGCTATGGCTGTATTTGTGTTCTGATTATTGGAAATGAAATGTTATGCACAAAAACACGTTTTATTTCTCATTTGTATTAGTTCATCTAATTGCGTATATACAAATTATGAATTCCATGAATTTCAAGTTATCCATTTGGTGCCTCAAAATTTTAAGCAATGCATTGGCTCAGTGGTTACGCTTACGGTGCATGACACTGAAAGTCTCAGGTTCGATTCCGTGTGAAAACAATTTTTTTTCTTTCATCTTTTTTTCTTATTTTTTTTATTTCATAGTTTTTTTGCATTGCTCCATTTTTTATGAGTGGAAGAAACAAGAAAAAAAATGAAAGATAAATATTTTTTTTTCTTTATTCTTCCATTCATAATAAATAGAGCAATTCGAAAAAATATAACAAAAATTAAAATAAAAAGGGATCCTAAAAATTTTTTCTCATCATTCTGAACAACTTTGTAGTACATTATTTTTTGATCCGATGAACTTTTGAAAAATTAGGGATTTTACTAATGTATTTCACCATCGCTTTGATTTTTGTGTCGCTTTTTGGCACCATATAATTTCAAATGTTTCCTTGGTTACGCATAACAGTGAAAGACCCAGGTTCGATTCTGTGTGAAAACAAAATATTTTTTCTCTTTTTATTTTAATTTTTGTTATATTTTTTCGAATTGCTCTATTTATTATGAATGGAAGAATCAAGAAAAAAAATGATTCATCGTTCATTTGCTTCAAAAACAAGACATTTCGCCATAAAATGTTAATAAGATTTAATATGTCTAGTTTCAAAGCAAATGAAAGATAAATATTTTTTTTTCTTGTTTCTTCCACTCATAAAAAATGGAGCAATGCAAAAAAACTATGAAATAAAAAAAATAAGAAAAAAAGATGAAAGAAAAAAAAATTGTTTTCACACGGAATCGAACCTGAGACTTTCAGTGTCATGCACCGTAAGCGTAACCACTGAACCAATGCAATGCTTAAAATTTTGAGGCACCAAATGGATAACTTGAAACTCATGGAATTCATAATTTGTATATACGCAATTAGATGAACTAATACAAATGAAAACAAACATCAACATACAAATAAGCTACAGAAAATGTTGCTTTAGTGTTTGTATTTTTGTATGTATTTTTGGAACATTGTTTTGTCAATGACTATACGTTTCCACCTAAATTACGTATTGTGTAAAATGGATTGAAAGTAAAAAGCAAAAAATATCGCAGTTATGAATATAAATATTTAAAATCATTTCAAACCATGACACCATTGCTATGTTCAGCATACACACCGTCCGAGCGAAGAGATTCGTTGAATAGTAGTATATGATGTACGTCATATTATCTATTGTAATATCATAAAATGATGTTTAAAAAGTATTCTCATTCTCAATTCTGTGTCATTTTGTGTATTATTATACCAACCAATATTGACGATGTGTTCTAATTAAAATCCACTTAATAAAATTGACGCAGTAAAGTTTGCACTCCATTATATTGGTGTTGAATTAAATATGGTTGCGCAAGAATTCTATTCGCTTCATATTTATTATCCCTTGCTTTGGTGAAACCGCCGTCACATTCATAAATTGGCATCCATGTTTTTGTGCATTGATTATAATTAGAAAAAGCGCACCGATGTTGACGACCGCATTGTGAACATCACTAAAGAAACGGCATCGCACGCCCAAATTAAAAGGCAAAAAACTTTTCCGCAAACCACTCTCTCCCGTTCCTTTTCCTCTTTTCATTATTTAGGTATTTTTGAACGGCCATCCAACAAACACCGTGATAATAATAATAATTCATTGCCTCTATTAATTTTCTTCAAGTTGAATATTTGATGGTAAGCAAAATTCTTCTGTATGCTATAGACGATGGGATTGAAAAACATCATGTATTTGGGTCGTGCCATTGTGCTCGTGAAGAATTCATTACGAAATATTTTGACCGAAAGCAACGGTGTATGATTTCATGAACCCCTTTTAATAAAATGCCTGTTACATGGAGCAAATCTTGCCGTTGCCATAGCACACTTGCGATACGATATTTTGACTACTGAAAATTAGCTATACAACTCAAGGAGCTATTTATTTTTTAATTCTTAAACAAAACTATGAATACGGGGCATCATCGTCTATGATATTTGATAGATTTTTCAATTATGAAAATGGAAATTTCTCATTTGTTCATTTATACATTCATGAATCTTCAAAAAAAGAAGATTGCATGATTTGTGTATCTTTTCATTTGTTTCTACCAAGTTTTATCATTGGCTTAAATTTTGTCTAACCTTTCGAAAGTCTGTTGGCCTTTTCGTGTGTTAATTTTTTAGGTCAAGTTCTGATTAAGTCAAGGGAATGTTCTTGAAATCTCGTTGTGTTCGTCATTTTATTGAAGATATTATTGTTTATCTAAAGTCAATTTTGGTACATAAATGATTTGTAGCTAATTTTACGTGAGCTGTTTATTGTCTTCCACTCTTCTCTCGCTCTCTCTCTCTCTCTCTCTCTCTCTCTCTCTCTCTCTCTCCACTTCCACAGTAAGTGGATTGAAAGTGGGATTTTAGATTGTGCCACAGGCAAATGTCATTATGCGTCTTTATTATCAACTTTCCAAAAGATACATAAAAGCACAGCAATTGCTACTTGTGATGGTGATGAATTTTCTTTTGGCTTTTGAAATGAAATTTTCACCAAATATTTTTGTTTTCCAAACGAAGAGATAAAGAGAAAAAAGGTATGGTAAAGTGAGATGAATGCTCAGATGAATATCGTTTAACTTATGCATAATGTTGCCGTTTGTATACGCGTGTTTGAGCGAAAAATAAATGTCAGCCATTGTTACGTTTAATAACTTCAGGTGAAATAAATAAATGAAATGTTCTATCGAAACCATTTTTCAAACAAGTGTATATTTGCGAATTGTAGACTGTGGATTTTATCAGGAGAATGAAATGAATGAAAACTGAGACGAATGGGGAAAATAAAAATTGATAAATGAAAAAGAAAAGCCGTAAGAATTAGCAAACAAAAAGTGGCCTTGATGAACGATTTATAAAGGAGAGAGAGCGGAAAAAAATTGAACATCAACGGAATCATTTGTGCCATCACCGATAGAATTGAATACAAGCTGTAGAGACTCGATCCACTTGTCAGGATACTTATTCTTCTTTTTTTTTTCTTCATTTGTATCTCAAGTTCTGCCTTTTTAAATTGTAATAAATAAGGTTTTTGATGTTTCTTTCATTATGTTCATTAATTTTAGATGGGAAAAAGAGCAGAAGCGCGCTCAACGGTAGCAACCGTGCTGTTCAATGACTTGTATCGAGGGGTGGAATAGACTGAACAGTGGTGGAAAAATCGCGAATCAAGAGTGTGCCAGTGAGAAAAAAATGAGCATATTTAAAAAAAGAGAAGTGTACATGATATAAATGTACAACGTGTTACACACCGTTCATTTCAATCCGCACGAGTACAACAAACCATACACTCACATAGTACACCCACAACTAATATAATCTTTCAGTTCTTCATTTCAAATTATCTAACATCGTAATGAGTTCTTCAATTTTGATTTGTATTCTTTGTATTTTTATACGAATTTCGCTTGAAAATAAATGCTCCTTTACAGTTGCCAGATTAATGAAAGCACCAAAAAAAAAATGATAAATGCAGACATACTTGACGCTCATAGTCTAGTGGATGGGCTTTTACAAAGAATGATGATGATGATGATGATGAACGTAGAAAATGGAATTTATTTGTAAATTGACGAACAAGTACTATATGTAAATAATCAAATTTTATACGGTGGATAAAAAATGAGTCACTTAAAAATAATTTCAGAGAAAATATTGCTATTTTTGGGCGTCGGATCTGATGTTTGTTCAATTAAGCGTGGTTAAAATGATTTCATTCACCTCTTTCAATTTTTATTTTAGAGATTTTTTCGTTCACTTACCGCGTCCGCTGCGACCAACAAAGCGTAAATCGTTGAACTTTGCCACTTGGTTCTTCATTACTGCAGTGCAATTACGTAGTTCGCCGCAAAAGTTCTCATCGTTGCCAGCCATCACAGTGACCAGTGTGCCATCGTTTACTTCACCCAATGCCACAACTTTAAAAGCACCTGGTAAAGTCTTGTTCGATCGCCAATGATTGGGTAGGGTTGTACATACCTAGAATCCAAAAGCAAAATCCATTTAACCATTGCATTGCATCGTCTAGCGCATTTTTTCGGGAATTTAAAATTCACAAATAGCATAAGTAAAATTACAATATGTGGTGAGCCAGTTCGAACAAGTTCACCGGGATGTTCAGCCAACAGACTGTCAATGGTGCGTTCAGCCAACTCTTGAGCGGTTAAGAAACCATTGTTATTGGTCTTCGCCGAATCGCTTTTGGTTTGATTGTTATTTTCGTTCGTTGAATTTTTCGTATCCATTGAAGATGATGATGATGATGACAATTGATGATGATTTGTCGTCGACGTCACTTCGGTTGCCAAATGCATTTTTAAATTTCACAATTTTTATTCGTCTTATGTCTTGATTTCACAAAATTTTAAATAGCCATTGATTCATTCACAGTGGACATTTGATTTTAATTGTTTATTTTCCTTCTAATATTATTGATTTTCATTCGTTGTTCTTAACCTTTTTTGATGTTCATGCTCACATTAAGTACTTATTTTTAAATCACTATTTTTATTTATCCAATTTCGATATTTCCTCCAATGATCATATTAGTCCGTTGATCAACCTTTTATTTTTCCATACGAAAACTGAAAATAATGTGAAAACATGAAATTGAAAATGATAGAAATCCTGAAGCTCATCTGAATAGTCATTGAATTTCGGTGTCTGAAATTTGAAATTCTCAGACGGCAAAGATCAAAAGAAAATTGAACCTCTAAAGGAGTGTGTAAAAGAAAGGTTTTTGCTGTTCATTCAAACATAAGTCAAAACTCTGTGTGCCTGTTGTGATGATTAACCATATGAACTCAAATAAAAGACTCTATTCATTGAGTTCATTGAATTGATGTGACGCCGTATCGTTCTACCAAACGAAAAAAAAAAAAACAATATTTGTTTGTATAATTTTCGATATTGTGTGTGCGTTTGACGTGCAAATTTATACGCATTTTCATATTGAATAAAGGTTCACGTCTTTTGTTTGATTCGAAGGTTGAACACTGATTTATATTTCTTGATACACCGAAATAGCGGTGTGATAAACCTACACACACATACATATTTATATCACACATGTTTCAAAACCTTCAATTTCACGCAATTCTCAATTCACATTAAGAAACTAAATCCCTTGTGTTCCGAGTGCTTGTACTCTGAATGGTGGTTAACGTTGAACAAACAATGTGATGACTTTTATTGACAATTCCAATCAAATGTAACTTCCGATTGACATTTCATTCACCCCCGCAATCTCTCAAACACGAACAGCGCCATTGAATTGATTTTAGAGAACAAAAACCCAACAGTTTCGACAATGACAACAATTCCACTGGAACAACGAAATAATATTTTTCACATCACAATGATGACTATTTCAATGAGTCGCAACTGCAATCAAATGCTATATTTTCACAGTGAGGTTGATGTTTGAATGACGTGCAACAATCAAATATGCTAATTGCGAAATGAATGCGTCCACAGCACAATGCCGCCAAAATTCATTGCCAAAATGGCAAATGATAATAATTTTATTGTTTTTGAATATGTGTGTGCGTGTGTGTGTGTGTGTATGTGAGGAGATGCAGGCAGGTGGATGTAGATAGAAAATATAACGCATAAAAACGGATTCAAAATGTCAACGCCACTCAAACAAAGCGCATAAACAGTTTGCATAATAATCCGTTTCGGCGATAATTTTTCGCCATTTGAAATATTTGAACGAGCATCAAAAAGTATTTCATACGTTGACTAATGTCCAGATTTTAGATAGCTGTGTATGCATTAAACTTGGCATTCAGAATGTGTTTTTTGGTAAATGTCGAGAGAAAAAAATGCCATTAAGAGAATGGTAAAGTGTGACAATTTCGGTGTGTGTATAGAAGTGTGTGTCAAAATTGTTAAACAGGTCGAAAATGTTGAAATTGTTGCGTGAAAATATTCACATATCGAATGAGCTTTAAAATAAATGTTTGGCGTGCAGGTGTTTATCATATTGAAACCACACATTTCCGTCGAGTCGACGGTATATAGTCGCATAATCAACAAATCCATGGTCGAAAGTGAGCAATGTGAGCAAGGCAAAAAAAAAAACACTGTGAATGTGAGACAACTATGCATGAAAGTGATTCGGAACAATGAATTCGACCAAACAGATAAATAGGAATGGAACAACAACAAAATGCAGGAAAAAAATAGCGCAACACTAAAGAGGAGCAAATCTGGTTGACATCTGCCACTGTTCGGTGGAGATAGTGTTATGTATAGAGAATTTTAATTGGATTTTTGCAGCTTTGGCATCCCAAGTGAATCAAACTCGAGCGATTGTTGTATGAGTGACTCTGACATTTCAAATGTGATAAAATTTCATTTTTCCTCAATTATGCACACGTTCAGGTGGAACTTTTTTCTGCCGCTTGTCACCACCGTCACCGCCAACCTCGGTTGTTTTTAAGCGCGTTCAACACAAATATTTTCGACGGCTTCTATTTGAGATGTGCATGTTGCACGGCATTTTGAGACACACATTTGAAATATTTGGATTGATACCAACGCGGTCGTGACTGATCACTCAATGGCTCTCCCTCTCTACCTCTATCTAGAAGCCTGTTTAAAGAGTTTCAAACATTTTCATAATATTACTTTGTGTTTGTTGAATGCAAAACTGCGGCCATCGATGTGTGTTGATATGGATTCCATATTATGGATAAACTCAATGGTCAACGCATTGACCATTTAAAGCTGTCACAATTTCCAATGCAACACCACGATCGGTACAATTTTGTTTGCTTCGGCTAAACAATTCACACAGTTCGTGCACACACAAGGTACATGCCAGCAAGAATAAACGAACGAGAGTGGTGAGAATGTGATGGCAAATGCTGGTATACTTATGCGAACCGTATTTAAAATCATGGTGCCGCCACATAAACCGCGAATCGGACTACTACAACCCAACCCCTCCCGCGTTCATTTCACACTTTAGTTTATTCAATGCGCTATTTTATACTTCACATACTTGCATTTGCATCACACATCACCTGAACATACATGTAACATACGCTGATTTAGTGCATTCGAATATATAGTGGGAAAATTACAAAATTCACTTTTAGTTAAAAATAGAATGCATTTTATTTGCACTTGACTGTGTTTGTTTGCGCTAATTATTTTTCCGTTCGTTTCGTGTTTGGTTTTAAAAGCGCATCGTCGACGCCCGTTTTTTTTTAAATCGAAAATTCAGCGTGAAAGCGTGCACTCTTGAAGCAAGTCCAAACAAGCAGGTTGATGTAACTATATATCTATGCAAGTTTTATGTTTAAAAACAATCTTACATTAAATGAGTGGTTTAACTGATTTAAAGCTGTGCCGACCGAAACATGATCCCAAACATACAAACACAATAAAAACAAACACACGCGATCAACATTCACAGTTTGCATACGCTCCATACCAGCTCCAAATTTAGAGTATACACCTGCTGATTAAGCCACAATATTGCCTAGCAATTTATGCAGCACAGCAAATTGGCTTGTTTTGATTTCAATTTCAACACATATAACGAATGAAACACTTTAATACCTCGCATGGACAAATTTAGTTTTAAAATAATATTGGCGGTAATTTTGTTCCATGAAAAATTCGCTGGATTTATTTGAATTTTTTTCTCAAAAGTTTCGAAAAAAATTAAAAAAAAAAAAAAAAAAAAAATAAAAAAAAATCTCGCAATTCTTATGTGCCTTGAATCTAAACAGAAATATTGAGAAGAATCTTTTAATTTTCCAAAGAAAAAACTACCTATTCTTTTTAATTATTGTTTTATTCGAAAATTTAAAACAAAAAAAAATCACTTTGAAAAAAAACTATATATATTCTTCGAGAAATTGCAAACTGTTTCGTCGGTTATTGAGGAAAGCCACGATGGGAAAACAAGTGGTCACATTAAATGTATCACATCGACTGCGCGCACGATATGAACGCAATCGACCACATTCCAAGACTATCTGTGGTAAGCCAAAGGGAAAAAAATGCATCGTCTTCGACCCGCTTGTCGAAGTAAAAAGTAAAAAGACTCAACGGCAAAGAAGAGGGACGGGAGAAAAGAAAAGCGAAAAATAAAAAGCAGCGGATACCCATACATCGATACGAAAAGTGTTTTTGTATGTGTGTGTGTGTGTGAGAGAGAGCTCCTTATTTGATCGCATGTGCGGTTGTTGTGTATGTTTTTATTTGTACCTATTTTGTGCTTTGGAACGTCTTTCATCCCCCGCTTTCGCCCCGCTGAAAAAAATACGAAGACGGGAAAAAAGAAAGAGAAACGATACTTGAGGTAGTGGAAAGAGAGAACGGTTTCACATCCATGACACATCATCATCATTATCAAATATAGAACGGGCCACGACGTAAACTTGCTCTCGAACTCGAATAATCTGCGCTTCGGCTGTAACAGGACAAAAAATTTAAATCAAAAAGGGAAAAAACGAACGAAAAACACATTCACACACACACACACACACACACACACACACACACACACACACACAC